GTTTGGGGTCATTGTCATGCTGGAACACTGCTCTGCGATCCAGTTTCTAGAGGGAGAGGATCATGCTCTGCTGCAGTATTTCACAGTACATGGTGGAGTTCATGTTTCCCTCAATGAAATGTAACTCTCCAATACCTGCAGCACTCATGCAGCCCCAGACCATGACATTCCCACCACCATGCTTGACTGTAGGCATGACACACTTATCTTTGTACTCCTCACCTGGTCGCCGCCACACATGCTTAAGGCCATCAGAACCAAACAAATTAAATTTCATCTCATCAGACCATAGGACATGGTTCCAGTAATCTATGGGATTTGTTCAGCAAACTGTTTGCGGGCTTTCTTGTGTATTGCCTTCAAAAGAGGCTTCCTGCTGGGGTGGCAGCCATGCTCACCAATTTGATGTAGTGCAACAATACGTTTTTTAAGATTCTCAGAGAGTTCTTTGCCATGTGGTGCCATGTTGGAACTTTCAGTGACCGGTAAGAGAGAGTGTTAGAGCTGCACTACAAATTTGAATACACCTGCTCCCCATGAACACATGGGCATTGTTACACTAATGAGTCACATGACATTTTGGAAGGAAAATGAAAAGCAGTACTCAATTTAGACATTTAGGGGTGTAGTTACTTAGGGGTGTACTCACTTTTGTTGCCAGGGATTTAGCTTTTAATGGCTATATTTTGAGTTATTTTGAGGGGAAAAGAAATTAACTCTGTTATATATACTGCAGACAGACTACTTTTCATTGTGTCAAAAGGTAATTTTTTCAGTGCTGTCCCATGAAGAGATATACTTAAATATTTGAAGAAATGTGAGGGGTGTACTCACTTTTGTGATACACTGTATGTATATATATATATATATATATATATATATATATATCACTCTGTTCATTATCTGTCTGTCTGTCTATCTATCTATCTATCTATCTATCTCTATCTATCTCAGTTTGTTCATTATCTACCTGTCTATTTATCTAATTCAATCTGTCCATATCTATTTAACTTACTCTGTTCATATCTATCTATCTATCTATCTATCTATCTATCTATCTATCTATCTATCTATCTATCTCTCTCTCTCTATATATATATATATATATATATATATATGTGTGTGTGTGTGTGTGTGTGTGTGTGTGTGTGTGTGTGTGTGTGTGTATAATTCAATTTGTTCCTATCTCAATATATGTGTGTATACGTGTATATGCCTGTGTTTGATAAAATCTTTAAAATACCATTCTTCTAATACTCTTCAATTTTCTCCTGCTTTTTAATCGAACATTTGCCCAAATTAGGATAATATTCAGCAGTAAACTGGCTAATAAATTCATGTTTGAAATGTATATTGTCTATAGTATTGGACTTGTTAATAACTTTGTCGTATGTTTGTTGTTGCATGTTATTAGTATAATTTAGTTGTAACTAAGTTCATTGAAAAAGATCGTTTTTCATTGTATTATCACAAAAGTCATATTAGCGTGCATTTAAAAATGTCAAAATGGCTTAATTTTGTTTATCGATGCTAACATTAAACATGGAACAAATAGGGAAAATTTTTGGCATATTCTGCTTTATTTTATTTTTAGAAAGATAAAAATATAACATATAAATTTAAATAGTTTTGTGGAAATTAATGTAAATGACCGAACATGTCAAAACTGGCTAGCAAAGTTTTATATTAACGAGTCCTTGCTGAAATGATCAATAGGTAAAATTAGCGCACTCAAATTATTCAAATCAAGTATTGAATATCATATGTACCGACTTTGTTATATTATTCACTTTGTTGCGTGACTTTCATATAAATTAAACGAAAAAAAAAACTACTAGAATTTTAGTGGCATTACTTAAATGTAGCAAAAATAGTCGTAATTTTAAAACGAATTGTTGGAGATTAAAAGTGTTTTTGGTTTAATTGATTCGTTTTCTACGGCTTTATTTAAATCTAGAAAATATTTTTAGATTGTCAGAATTGTTTTTGGTAGGGAGATAATAATGGTTTAGTTAATTAACCCATAACTGGAGGGAGAAGAGGTGGATTTATAACTTTATCAATGGTATTCGCGTATAAGTAAATATAATGGACCCATCAGGAATTGAAATTCAGATCTCCGATTAACAATTCCAATCTATTATCTATTATACTATCCGCACATCCAAATTTACAGCACTTAATATTCCTATGCGGTTACCCATCTAGGTACTGTCCAGGCTCGACGTTGCTTAACTTCCCTGATCGTATAGGGTGTCAACCTGATGTGGTTATAAGAGCAATTAAAGTGCATATGACAACATGGAAAGGAACTGATCGCAGGGAAACCAAAATGAACTCTTATTTACCACGCCAAATATTAGTCTTCATTCAAAGAACGTGATACTGTGTATATGGTAAAATTGAAAGTGTGTTATTTATAATTACTGCTCCTCGTAAAGGTAAATGATTGATTACTGCCAACTGAAACCAGTTAAGAAAAATAGCGTAATCATGGTAA